CGTTCCTGAGTTCAGGGGCCTCTCTAGTCAGGGTGTCTCGGGGTAAACTGTGAGGATGTATCGAGCGGGAGCCGTTGTCGTCGTAGCTGGCCCTCCAAGGGCCCACATTCAAGCTCACGCAAACGCTCGAGCGGGAGCCTCGTTTTCAGAGAAAATGTAGCCGGAGTCGAGGCGAGAGCGAGCGGAACCGTTTCCGGGCATCAGCAATACATTTTCTCTGGAAATTGGAATTCAATAACAACACCACCACCACCACCAACAACAACAACAACAACAACATCAACACCAACAGCAACAACATCAACAACAACTGCCCTCTCCGCGTATTGCTGTTACACAGGATTTGCCAGACTTGGGGCGAGTTGCTTTTTCTCATGCACCTTGGCAATATGATTGTTTCCTGTGCTTCAAAATCGTGGGCCCGCTGCAGCGTGGGCCTCGTTTTCGGGTCGGCGCTTGGCTTCATGCTCAGAATGGCGCTTTCGCTCCAGCGTGTGCCACTTTTCTGGATCCCATAGGTTTGGCAGGTCCCACAGGTCTCGCAGGTCCCACAGGTCCCACCGGTCTGACAGGTCCCACAGGTCCCACAGGACCCACCCACAGGTGTCGCAGGTCGTCCCACAGGTCCCACAGGTCTGACAGGTTTCACAGGTCCCACAGGTCCCCAGGTGTAGCAGGTCTCGCAGGTCCCACATGTCTCGCAGGTCCCACAGGTCCGACAGGTCCCGCAGGTCCCGTAGGTCTCCCGGGTGTCGCAGCTTTCACATGTCTCACAGAGGTCCCCAAGGTCCGACAGGTTCCACATGTCCTGGCGGGTCCACAGGTCCCCAGGTGTTGCAGGTCTCGCAAGTCCCGCAGTTCCCACAGGTTCAGGTCCCACATGTCCCAGAGTCCCATATGTCTCACAGGTGTCGCAGGTTGCGCAGGCCCCACATGCGACAGAGGTCCCTGGTCGCGCAGGTCCAACAGGTCCCACAGGTCAGACAGGTCCAAGAGGTCCATAGTTCCCACCTGTCCCACAGGTCCCACAGATCTCACAGAGTTCCCACAGGTTCCACAGGTCACACAGATCGCACAAGTCCCACAGGTCCCACCTGCCCCACAGGTCCCACAGGTCACCTTTGCTGCTAGTGCGGTGCTTTGCTGGAGTAATGGAGTTCCAGGTTCGCGTCAGGGATTGGAGGGAGAGATTGGAGGGAGGGATAGGAGGTCAGGTGCAGCGCGAGCGCACCTAGCTTGCACGTCCCCCCTCTCCCCCCGTGCTCCCTCCCCTCTGCCTCTTCCTCCTCCTTCCCTCCTTCCCTCCTCCCCTCCTCCCTCCCTCCCTCCCCTTCCTCCTCCATTCTCCTCGGAGAAGAGGGGGTGTCGGAGGAGAAGAAGGCGCAGCGGGGGGAGGGAGGATGGAAGTTGGAGGAGTCGGATGAGGAGGAGGAGGAGGAGGAGGAGGAGGAGGAGCAGGAGGAGCAGGAGGAGCAGGAGGAGGAGGAGGAGGAGGAGGAGGAGGAGGAGGAGGAGGAGGAGGAGGAGGAGGAGTCGGAGGAGGAGGAGCAGGAGGACGCGGAGGAGGAGGAGGAGGAAGAGGAGGAGGAGCAGGAGGAGGACCAAAGTCAAGCAACGTTTCATGAGCCATGCTGCGATACACCCTCTCCTTTCAAGTTCCTGCCTCACACGTCTCTACAAGTTTGGCTTTTCATTCAAAGAGTCCCCCTTGGAATACCAGCACCACATGTACCTTCCGATTCGGCGAGAGTCCCAGTTTTAAAGGCAATGCCGTGCAGAATGAGGGATGCTGACATGATGATCAGACAGTTCAGAAAAGGTGTCCAACGAGATCGCAGTTTCGAAAACGAACGGAACGCCTGGCTCAAGTTTATATTTGTGGCTATGAGCATTGTGGACATCTTGAGTGATGGACCCGGTCTGGAAGTGAGCCGTCCTCGACGTGTGCAGTTCTAAACGCGTTGAAGTATTAGGTCTTTTTCATGGTCAGAGCAGTCACGCAACCATCCGTACATCCTTCGAACGGTTTCAGACCTTCGAAACAAATGTGCGCGGCGCTGAGGCGATAGTGATGCTGTGACACGCCCTGTGCTCCATCCTGTTACAGGTTCAGCATTTTAAACCGAATGTCCGCCGCGCTAAGGCGAGGGCCCCACTTTGAAAATGAACCGCCCGCATCCTTATAGCGGTTGCAACCTGCTCAAACTAGTGCGCACGGCGCTATGGCGAGCGCGCCATTTTGAAAACGGCTTGCGCTCTATCCATGAAGCTGCTGCGAACTTGTGAGACGTGTGTGCGCGGCGTTAAGGCGAGAACCCCACTGTTGAAGCGACCCGAGCTGATCCTTGCAGCTGTTGCGGAACTGACGAATGTGCGCGGCTATATGGCGAGAGCACCATTTTGAATACGGCCCTCTTTGCATCCCTAAGCTGTTGCAAATTGTGAGCTTTAGGGGCAGCAGTGGTGAAGAAAACAATCTCAGGCGAAACGCCTGGCCCGCCCTGATGACAGGTCTGTGGGCGCGACAAGGAGGAGTTGTGCTGAAACTAGGGATTGAGGAGGAGTAGGAACGCACTGATGGTGATGATACAGATGATCATGAAGATGATGATGATGATGATGCTGCTGCTGCTGATGATGATGGTGATGATGAGGATGTCGATGGTGATGATGCTGATGGTGATGATGCTGATGATGCTGATGACGATGATGATGCTGATGCTGATGCTGATGATGAGGATGCTGTTGCTGATGATGATGGTGGTGATGGTGATGCTGATGATGCTGATGATGCTGATGCTGATGCTGGTGCTGAAGATGCTCCTGCTGATACTGAGGATGCCGATGCTGATGTGGATGATGATGAGGATGATAACAAGGAGGATGAGGAGGATGATAATGCGGATGCTGATGTTGCTGCTGCTGCTGCTGATGATGATGATGATGATGATGATGATGCTGATGATTAGGATGATGATGATGCTGATGGTGATGATGCGGATGATGATGACGATGATGATGGTGCTGCTGATGATGATGATGCTGATGATGCTGATGATGCTGATGATGATGAGGAGGAGGTGGAGGACGTGGTGGTGAAGCAGGGAGGAAGAACATGAAGAGCTGAACGACGCCGCTACGAGGTGAACTCTGACATCTTCGCCATCACCTACGGCTCGCTCGTCACGCAGCTGCTGAGAGACATCGAGGACTCTGCGGCGCGCTGCCCTCCCCCCGCATTCTCTCTCAGCCTCGGCTCTCGACCTCCGCGAGCAATCTTCCCCGTCCCCCCCCGTAAGGAAAATCAAGGCCCGAGGATCGAGGACCGAAGTGCGTGGACGTTTTCGGGATTCCGGAGGCGCCCACCCCGGGCGCGCCTCCTCCTGCTCCGTCGCTGCATGGACAAAGGGGCCGCTTGGTTGAAGATGTAGGAGCGCGTCCGTATCAGAAAGGAGGGAACTGATGCGAGGCAGTGGGAGGAGGGATGGATGAGAGATGGGGCTGCAGAGGGGAGGGAGGATGGAGGAAGGAGGGCGCTGGAGATGGGCGGAGGCAGGAGGAGAGACTGGAGGAGTCAGAAGGGGGAGGACGGGCAGTGAGGGAGGAGGGATAGTGGAAGGGGACGCACGCACAAACAACACGCGACTAAGGACACAGGTCCCCAGAGGACGCAACGCCTCATCGGCCCGGAGGAAAACCCCGAGATCCCACGTTGCGACGAACATGCGACGTCGCAACAAATGACGACCAGAGCCCCAGGTCCCATCTTTCTGCGGCATGTTTGTTCGAGCTAGATCGATCTGTGATGGCCCTGGGGCCCGAAGCACGCCGCGTGTGGAGAATATGTCACGCCCAGATTTACGATCCGCGATCTTCAATCCGCGATCCTCGACCCGCGATCTTCGATCCGCGATCCTCGATCCACGATCTTCGATTCGTGAGCCTCAATTCGCGATTCTCGAACCCCTGTCGGTCCTGGGCAGGACGTGGAGGCGGTGAACGCACAGCTCGAGAAGATGGGCTACAACATAGGCCTGCGGCTGGTTGACGAGTTCCTCGCCAAGAGCGGGGTTACGGGCTGCCAGGAGCCTATTTCTTCAGCTCCTCCTCCTCGTCTACTCCAGATTTCGTAATAAAAGGGAGGGGGGTCTCATTTCGGGGGGGGTCTCTTCCAGGCTATCTTGGAGGGCCTGGGGGGGTCTGGGGACGATGTTTTGGAGGGTTCTCCCACGGGGGAGGTCTGAAATGGCTTGTCTTGGAGGGTCCAGACCCCCTCCCTTTTATTACGAAATCTGGAGTATCCTCTCGTCCTTTTTCCTCCACTCCTTCGTCCTCGCCGCCGCCGCCGCCGTCGCTGGCGGTGGCGATGGCGCCGTCGCCGCCGCCGCCGCCGCCGCCGCCGCCGCCGTCGTCGTCGTCGTCGTCGTCGTCGTCGTCGTCGTCGCCGTCGTCGTCGTCGTCGTCGTCGTCGTCGTCGTCGTCGTCGTCGTCGTCCGCCGCCTCCACAGACTTCCGACGTGCCGCCGCACTTGCTGCCAAGGGGGGGCGACAGGGGGGGACATGGAGGAGAAGGAAGATGAGGAGGAGGGGGAGAAGGAGGAGGAGGAGGAGAGGTCGAAGGATCCAATGGCGGACGGCCGAGGATAGTTCTTGTTGACTGCGCTTGGCTGAGCAGATTCTGCAGGGGGCACAGACTTCCAGCGTCACGAGCAAATCGAAACGCCCAGTCTTTCTAGGCCCGTGTGGGCCCCAGGAGCACCAGATAGTGACCTGGGATGAGCACCGCGGTTGTCTATGAAGGAGGAGGAGGAAGAGGAGGAGGGGCACGGGGGTTTGGAGGTTCTTCGCCCTTGTAGGACCTCCTGGAGGGCCCTCGTCTCCACGCTCAGATCCGCCTTGAAATCCTGGTCAGACCACGCTCTGGGAGAGGTCAGTTTTTTATTTGTAGGAGGAGGCGGAGTTGGATGAGGAGGAATGAGATGTGACAGGGGAGAGGGGATCAGGGAGGGGGAGGGAGGGGAGGGAGGCCATGAGAGCAGAAACACCCTTTCGGGTGAACTGGCCCGAAGGCGCTGCCCAGTGCACCTACAGCTGAAGTCGAAGCCAAGGCTGAAGTGCACAGACAAGTGCCAAGGGCCGAAACTGTAGATTTGGTTGACAGCACATCGTTGAGCGGTGCTGCAGCTTCCCCTGAGCACAGGCCCCCAAAGTCCAGCAATGCATGAGGGTGTAAACCCGACTCGTTCGGGGAGGGGGAAGGGCAGATGAGAGGAGGGAGGACTGGGGTGAGGGACCCGAGTTGCCCCCAGGGCGGGGGGTGGCGACTGGGGCTTGCGTTGCCCAGGGTGCTGGGCAGGATTTCAACTGACGTTGGGGGACAGGAAGGGTTATGACGAACTGGCAGGCGGAGGGGTGGGCAAGAGGATGGGAATGGGATGTCCCACTCCTTCTCTTCATCTTCAGCCTCAGCCCCAGCCTCGTTCCCCTCCTCGTTCTTTCTCTCGTCCTCGCCGTTACACGCCTAGTGCTTACGTACCCTACGGATGCTTTTCACCTGGACCTGTCTCCCCTCACCTGGTGTATCGTGTTCAGGATTCATGCGGCCATTTGGAACATGAACTCGTACCATGCTAGGTGGACCGCTATCGCTCTGGGTCAAAGTGGGCTGAAGGCGCGTTTGCCAAACATGTCTCCCCAATTCTGTGGGTTCATACATCGCGATGCCAGCTGCGTTGTATGCCCCCTCTTCCCCCTCCTCCACTTCCTCATCCTGCTGCTGCTGCTGATCCTCCTCTCCTCCTCGTCCCCCCTCTCCCTCCCTCTCCCTCCTTCTCTCCCTCCCTCTCCCTCCCTCCTTCCCCCCTCTCCCTCCTTCTCTCCCTCCCTCCCCTCCTTCGGCAACCGGGGGGGGGGGCAAAGAAGGGCAGTCCCCAGCACACAGGGGAACCGGGCCCTGAGCAGGGGCAGCTGCCAAGCCGCGCGGGCCAGCACAGCGCCAGCGCAGGCAGACCGCGGACCGCAGCTCCGCGGGAGCACAGCCAGCTCTTCGGCCTGGCTCTCCATCGGCCTCCCTCCTCGGCTCCGCCCCCCTCTGTGGACGGCAGATCCCGCGCGGCGGATTCAGGCCATCTGCGAGCAGTCACTCTGCGGGTCGTGGAACGCGCTCCTCTGCTCCCTCCCACGCCTTCCATCCCTCCCACCCCTCCCCCCCGCCCCCTCGCTAGTGCCGCCCCCCGTGCCCTTCGCGCCCCGCCGAGGACTTCCGCGAGACCGCGGAGGTCGTCGCCAAGGCCGTGGCCCGGCGCGGCCTTCGGCCTCTTTTGGGTGGCGGCCGGCGGGGGATCGGCGGCCGGCGGGGGATGGGCGGCCGGAGGCGGGGCCGGCGGCCGGCGAGGGGTCGGCCCGGAGTCGGGATGGAGGGGGAGGAGGGGGAGGAGGAGGAGGAGGAGGAGGAGGAGGAGGAGGAGGAGGAGGAGGAGGAGGAGGAGGAGGAGGAGGAGGGGGAGGAGGGCCCCCCAGATGGGGTCGGAGCAGACGAGGCGATCGCAAGCATGGACTGAGGGGGCGTGGATCGGCGGGTCCCGTTTCCAGGGGACATCGCGGATTGCCGCCGCTGGACGAGGCGGCACCGGCCGCATTTTGGGGAGGGCACCTCCCCCGATCCATGGATGAGGCGACCGCGCGCCAAATCCATGGATCGCTAATCCATGTTTGCGTGCCCCCGAGCAGAGGGGATTGGAGCATCGCGCCGCGTCGCCGACGCATCGGCGATGCGGCCCGATGCGGAGCCCGATTCTCTGCACGTCGACGTCGCCGATGCATCGCCGACGTCGCCGCCAGTGCATCGCCGGTGCATCGCCGATACATCGCCGATGCATCGCCGATGTATCGCCGATGCGGCGCGATCCTCCGACCCCACCTAGGAGGCCTCTTAATACACAGACGCAAATTTCGAGGAGCAGAAACGGCATAAGCATACACTTTTGACGGTCCTCGCGGATGTCTTGGATTTGCGATGGCCCCCCTTTGCGCGCCAGGGAGGGGGGTATCAGCGCAGACCCCGAACATGTGCGCGGACCGTCAGAAGTTTCTGTCTATGCCGTTCTTGTTCTTTTCAAATGATCGTCGATTCTTTGGAGAACATGGGAAATATGGGAAGTGGAGGGGAAGACGAACATCCAGGAAATACGGAACATATGGGGAATCCTGGGATTTGTGTCTGTTTATTTGTGTGTCCCTGGGCCCGTTTACAGAGATCCGAACATTCCGGAGCATTGGTGCGGCCAGTTTTTGCCGAAGGAGAAAAAACGACACACATATGTATTTTCGGAGCTCCGCGCTGATTTCTCGGATCGTCGCTGGGGCCCTGGCGGCGCCTCCTGCGCTGGCGTGCTCAGCGCGCCAGGGAGGGGGCCCCAGCGCCGATCCGAGAAATTCGCACCGACCTCCGACAGTTCAGGCTCGTGCCGTTTTTTGGCTCCTCCATTCAGGCTATGTTCGGCTCGTGGGGGCCCTCGACGGGACCCGGGACCGTTTTAGAACGACTCAGGATGAGAAGCCGGCCCCAGGGACTCCGTCGAGACCACTGGGGTCCACGTGTCGAAAGAAGTGTATCCATTCCCGCTGAGGAAAGTGCCCCGTGGGGAGGCAATCGTGTGAAGATCCTGAAGAGTACCAAGACACCATTTTCGGGTCTCCAACGCCACGAACCAACTTGACTGTTGGGCCCTGGCAATCCTGAATCGCGCCAGAACGCAATTCTGCTATACTATACATCGGACTTCGTGAAACCCTTGAACATATTGAGAACGAACGTGCGCGGCTTTACAGCGAGAGCCACACTTTGACAAGGAGCCGCCCTCAATCCGTGAAACTAATGCAATTTTCTAAAACGAAAGTGCGCGGCGACTCGCATTTTTTTTCCAGCCATCCTGTGGTGTTGGGTCCTCGTTTTGTAAGGGACAGCGCCCCGCGTTCCTCTCCTCTCCTCTCCTCCTCCCCCTCCTCCCTCCTCCCTCCTCCCTAGCGCCCAGTGCAGCATTTTGTGGTCCCATAGGGGGGAGCTCCACCGAAGGTCCCAGAGGCAGGGTTCGCATGGCGGCCCCGCCAAATTTCGATACACCCCTCACACGTTTCGTGGCCCCATAGGGAGGTCCACCGAAGGCCCAAGTGGCAGGGTTCGCATGGCGGCACTGTCTCTGGTCGGCACACCCCTCACACGTTTCGTGGCCCCATAGGGAGCTCCACTTCGCATGGCGGCCCCGCCCAATTTCGGCGCACCTCTCACACATTTCGTGGCCCCATAGGGAGCTCCACCGAAGGCTCCAATGGCAGGGTTCGCCTGGCGGCCCCGCCCCATGTCGGCACACCCCTCACACTTTTCGTGGCCTCATGGGCAGCTCCACCGGAGGCCCCAGTGGCAGGGTTCGCATGGCGGCCCCGCCCCATTTCGGCGCACCCCTCACACGTTTCGTGGCTCCATGGGGAGCTCCACCGAAGGCCTTGCTTCTGTGGGGGTCCTAGCGGATTCATATGGTTAGGTGATGGGTTGGCACCAATTTCGGCCGCATTCCCGGCTGTTCGGGTGCCCGGGTGCCCTGGCGCCTTGGTGCCCGGGTGCCCTATAGCCTCATAGCCCTATGTCGGGACGACCGACATTGGTCCGGAAAGAATGGGTACAATGCTCAACAGCAGTTCCTGTTCATTTTGAACAGTGCTCGCTGTCCACTCCGCCGCGGCCTGTGTCTATTTGAGACAGAAGGCCGCCTGCCCAACAGCAGCCGCTGCTGGTTTGGGACAACATTTGTTGTTGGGCATTGTACCGATTTTTTCCGCACCCATTTCGGGCGTCCAAAGTATAGCCTTATAGTCTTATAGCCCTATAGCCCTATAGCCCTATAGCCCTGTGGCCCTATAGCCTTACAGCCCTAATAGTCTTGTAGCCCTATAGCCTTATAGCCCTATAGCCTTATAGCCCTATAGCCTGATAGCCTTATAGCCCTATAGGGCTATAGCACAGCCCTATAGTCCTATAGGCCTATAGCCCTATAGCCTCACAGCCCTATAGCCCTACAGCCTTATAGCCCTATAGTCCCATAGCCTTAGAGCCCTATAGCCCCATAGCCCTATAGCCCCATAGCCCAATCGCACTAAAAACATTGTGGTTGTTTTTTCTCCTCAGATATCATGCTGATTCTGATGAGGATGATTATGGTGATGATGGTGATGATGAGGAGGATACTGATGATTATTATGCTGCTGCTGACGACGAAGATGATGTTGCTGATGATGATGAGGATGAATAATAATATGATGATGATGGTGATGATGATGATGATGTTTATGCTGATTGCGACGACGATGTGATGATGACAAAGCTGATGCTGATCATGCTGATGATGCTGCTGCTCATGATAATGATGGAGATGATAATGATAATGATAATGATGATGATGATGACGATGATGATGATGATGATGATGATGATGATGATGATGATGATGAAGCTGATAATGACGATGATCGCGATGGTGATTGATGATGGCGATGACCATGATGACGGCGATGACGACGATGACGACGACGGTGACAAAACCGATGATGAGTTTGTGGGTAGTGTGGCAAATGAAGGGGATTGGATAAGAGGCAGTGCGTGGCCAGGTCGGCCTCAGGATGTTCCTCGGCGTGGGCGCCGAGGTGGTGCAGTGGAACGGTGAGAGGCGCTTCCGCGCTTCCTGGTCTGACCGTCTAACGTTTTTGTTGTTGTTGTTGCTGTTGTTGTTGTTGTTGTTGTTGTTGTTGTTGTTGTTGTTGTTGTTGTTGTTGTTGTTGTTGTTACTTTCTCGTCGTTGTAGTAGTAGTAGTAGTAGTAGTAGTAGTAGTAGTAGTAGCAGCAGCAGTAGTAGTAGTAGTGGTAGTAGTAGTAGTTGTAGTAGTAGTAGTAGTTGTTGTTGTTGTTGCTGTTGTTGTTGTCGTTGTTGTTGTTGTTGTTGTTGTTGTTGTTGTTGTTGTTGTTGCTGTTGTGGTTGTTGTTGTTGTTGTTGTTGTTGTTGTTGTTGTTGTTGTTGTTGTTGTTGTTGTTGTTGTTGTTGTTGTTGTGGTTGTTGTATATCTTCATCTTCCGTTTTTTGTTGTTGTCATTTTGTTTGATTCCTCCGTTTTTGTTGTGGTATGTAGATAGCATGCACATATACAACTACGTTATTTTGTGCGGGGGGTCTACCTTGCCGCCACAGCAGGATCCGGCTCGAAATCCTGGTCGGAATCGCTCCAGTCGAGCTCTGGGGGTGTTGGGGTGGGGAGAGAGAAAGGGCGAGGTTCTGGCCAGTTGTGGGGAGAGTAGGGGAGGCGTCAGGGGGGGAAGAGGGGATATGGAATGAGAACAGGAGGCGGGATGGGGACGCGAAGGGAGGGGAGGAAGGGAAGGGCAGAGAGAGGTAGTGCAGGATGGCAGGGGAGGGTGACTCTTGGGCTTACGCCGCACCGCCGACCCCTGGGGCTCCTGGTAGGTCTCTCGGGGGCCTCCTGGCAGCACTTTTGAGGCCTTTCGGGGGCCGTTTAGGGGCCTCTTAGGGCCTCTTTCGGGCCTCTGATGGGCCTTTTGGAGCCTCGTGGGGCTTCTTGGGGGCCTCTTGGGGCCTCCTGGAGGCTTCTTGGGGCCGAGGGCTCGGAATTTCGATTCGGCTCCCCCGCCTGGGCCCCCTCTTGGAGCCGTCTTAAGGGGCCTCTTGAGCCGTCTTGGGGCCCTCCTGGGCCGTCTTGGGGCCCTCTTGGGCCGTCTTGGAGCCTTCTTGGGGGCTTCCTGGGCCGTCTTGGGGCGATCTTGGATGCCTCTTGGGCAGTCTTGGACGTTGTGAAAGCCCAAGAGGCGAATCTGCTAAAATCATACATTTCCCTAATGGGATGGGACGATTTTTGCTTCTGGGGGCCCTCTTGGGACGCCTCTTGGGGCCTCTTGGGGCATCTCGGGGGCCTCTTGGGCCGTCTGGGGGCCATCTTGGGCGTCTTGGAACGATCCATCGGTGACTCGGGTCCCTCTTGGACCATCTTCTGGGCCTTTTGTGGTGCTCATGTCCCGTCGTGAGGCCGGTGACAAGTTCAGCCAGCGCTGGCCAGACCCCCCCACCTCCAAAACGATTGGACCGGGCCCCAGGGGGAGGGGTTTGGGGAGTGGGAAGCATCTCACACGCCGATGACCCCGAGGGGCCGGCGGATTAGAGGGGAGGGTGGGTAGTGGGGAGGGGAGGGGACGGGACGGGTTTGGGGGAGGCGATGAGGTGCAGGAGGAGAAAGGTAAATGGCAATGAGGGCGGCGAGTTGAGAGGGGAGGAAGCTGCAGCAATGCAGCAGCCGCGATTCGCCGTGCGCGCTTCCTCTCCCGTGCCGGAGCCAACGCGAGGTGGGCGTCAGACGGGAAGGTCGGGCTCACAGCCATTTGGGCAATGCGGGGGGGAAGCACGGAGGGGGGGGTCTCGGCGGCCATTTTTCCGGTCACCGGGACCATGCAGGATGGCTCGCCTCGAAACAAGAGGCGGCATCGGAGGTTTGGAGACGAAGGTGGGTGTTGACTTCGGAGGACCCCACGGCCAATCCTCCGTCCTTCCGAGGAGAGGAGGGGAAGCTGTGTGGGAACGGGGTCGGGCGGGACCAGGAGCCAGACCAGGGCCATGAACAGGGCCAGGCACAGGGCCAAGCCCATGCCCAGGAGCCAGATGGGGAAGGAGGATAGGAAGAGGAAGAGGAGGAGAAGAGGGAAAAGTGGGATGATGATGGTGATGGTGATGGTGATGATAATGATAATGCTGCTGCTGCTGATGATGGTGATTGTGGTGGCGATGCTGATGCTGATTATGATGGTGGTGGTGACGATGATGATGATGGTGATGATGGTGATCATGATGGTGGTGGTGGTGATGCTGCTGATGGCGATGCTGATACTGCTGATGGTGATGATTCTGATGCTGATGATGATTCAGCAGCTGCTGACGATGATGCTGATTGATTTTGTTGATAAGCCAGCGATGACGACACTGACGGGGATGCTGCTGCTGTTGTTGTTGTTGTTGTTGTTGTTGCTGTTGTTGTTGTTGTTGTTGTTGTTGTTGTTGTTGTTATTGTTGATGTGGACGAAGAGGTAATTCATGATGGCCACGATGATGAAACACTATGATTATGTTGTTGATGCTGCTGCTGCTGCTTATTCTGATGATTATGCTGTGGATGATGATGATGCGGGTAAGGTTGCTGACGGTAATGGGAACGCTAATGATGCCGATGCTGATGCTGCTGCTGATGATGACGATGCTGTTGATGACAATGCTGGTGATTGTTGTTGTTGTTGTTGTTGTTGTTGTTGGTTGTGATGATTATACTCACGAGTTTGATGGTGCTACTGATGATGTTAATTATTATGATTCGGATTATGATGATGATGATGATTCTGATGATGATGCTGGTCATGCTGATGCGGATGATGGGCTTGATGATGGTGATGATGATGATTATGCTTGTATGAGGATAATAATGGTGGTGGTGATGATGATGATGAGTACAAAGAGGATGCAGATGCTGATGACGATTCGGATTCTGACTAGAAGTATGCTGATGATGCTGATGATGACGATGATTATAATGATGATGCTGATGATCATGCTGATGCTGATGGCGTTGATGATGATGACGATGATGCTGCTAATGATGATGCTGATGGTGATGATGATGATGATGCTGATGCTGACGCTGATGCTGATGATGATGGTGATCATGATCAGGGTCAGGATGATGCGGATGATGATGCTGCTGATGATGATGCTGATGCTGATGATGATTCTGATTCTGACTAGAATTATGCTGATGATGCTGATGATGACGATGATCATAACGATGATGCTGATGATGATGCTGATGCTGATGGTGTTGATGCTGCTGCTGCTGCTGATGATGATTGTGATGATGGTGATCATGATGATAATGATGCTGATGCTTACGATGATGCTGATGATGATGGTGATCATGATCAGGGACAGGATAATGAGGATGATGATGATGATGATGATGATGATGATGATGATGATGGTGGTGGGGGTGGTGATGATGATGATGATGATGATGATGATGCTGACGCTGATGCTGCTGCTGATGATGCTGCTGCTGCGGATGATGAGGATGCCCATGCTGCTTAGGATGATGATGCTGATGCTGATGACAATGCTGCTGCTTCTGATGCTGATGATTATGATGATGCTGTGGACGCTGTGCATGATGATGATGCTAATGATGATGCTGCTGCTGATGATGGTGCTAATGACGCTGATGATGCTGCTGCTGATGATGATGATGATGATGCTGCTGATGATGATGATGAGGAGGAGGAGGAGGAGGAGGAGGGGTGGTGGGTGGTTGCTGCATTAGGGAAACAAGCCCCGAGCAGAGCAACACGCATCACAGCCACGACGACGCCGACGACAACGACGACGACGACGACGGAGACGAGTCGCGCAGACGATCCGCACCGAAGCACGGATTCGGGAAAGGGCCCACCCTGCAGGTTCGGTTAAACAGCACATCGGTGAGCGGTGCTGCAGCCTTCTCTGAGCACAGCCCCCCCCGGAGCACCAGCCAGATAAATCGGGTCGGCACCCTGCCCCCAACCTCGTCAGGGCCACCGACAAGGGAGAGGGCGGCGGTGGCCGACGCGTCCCCGAGCTAAGAAGTGCAAAGCACCGTGGCTCAGAGAGCTGGGAAGGCAGGCAGACAGACGAACGGACCGAAAAACGGACAGCCAGGCGGCGTGCAATGCCTGGCAACCCAAGTGGATGATGATGATGATGATGATGATGATGATGATGATGATGACGACGATCATGATCGTGATGATGATGCTGATGATGATGCTGCTGATGATGCTAATGATGCTGATGATGATGCTGCTGCTGATGATGATGATGGTGATGACGGTGATGATGGTGATGATGGTGATGATGATGATGATGATGATGATGATGATGATGATGATGATGATGATGATGATGCTGATGATGATGATGATGATGATGATGATGATGATGATGATGATGATGATGATGATGATGATGATGATGATGATGATGATGATGATGTTGATGATGATGATGATGATGATGATGATGATGATGATGATGATGATGATGATGATGATGATAAGGAGGATGAGGAGGAGGAAGAGGAGGAGGAGGAGGAGGAGGAGGATAGGGAGAAGAGGGAGGAAGGGATGGAGAGACGGGAGTCGGGAGGAGGATCCCAGAGCCCGCCGACGCGCCTGCCGAGGACCGCGTGCTCGCTGGTGCTCTCCGAGAATCCGCTGGCCGACTACGTGGCCGCCCGCGCTTCGCCGAGGGGTCCCATTGGGGGAGGTCGGCGGCGCGGGCGGCGTCTCGCAGCCAGTGCCGCCGCCTCCTTCTTCTGCCGCTCCTCCTCCTCCTCCTCCTCCGCTTCCTCCTTTCTCCTCCTCCTTCTGCTCCTCCTTCGCCTCCTCCTTCTGCTCACACTCCTTCTCCTTCTCCTCCTCCTATGCTCGTCCACCTCCTCCAGGGCTTCGCCAGGACCTCGGCCGAGATGGCTGCAGCAGCGGAGCCGCGGTCCGTTCAGCCTGCGGAGTCGGACCACTGTAAACAGAGTTGAGCTTCGTTGCCACATTGGAAGCATCAGCAACATAACATTGACAGTATGTGGACTGTGGAGTTGGCCGTGTTAATTGAGGCAGCTGGTTTGGCTTTGCCAGTTTCAGTTTGCATCGATTCCCGCGCCGTCAGCTTTGGGGCCACATCCCAGCCTTCAATTCTATGCTGGTGTGGTAAGGTTGGTTTACTTTAAGCTGCTTTCGCACTCTCTGCACAATCTCACAGCGGACTTGTCGGCATTCGTGATATTATTGGTAATACGTCATCTCGGCTTGTCAGGTTCTCAGAGTTTTACATCTTTCGTGCTGCGTATTATTGTGTGCCAGTAACTTTGATATCATAAGAGCTCCGTTCTGAATTCCGTATCCTTGACGGCAAGGGCCGAGATGCAATGTAAACGGTAGTTATGCACATATGTTTTGTCATCTGATCATATTCATGCTTATGCTCATTCTCATGCTCATGCTCCTCCTCCTACTACTTCTCGCAATCCTCGTCTTCGTCCTCGCCCTCCTCCTCTTTCTCCTCCTCCTCACCCTCCTCGTCCTTCTTCTCCCCGTCCGTCTTCTACCCGAACGTAACTATGCATTCTCTTCCCAGCCTCCCGGCCTGTCTTTTCCGCTGCCCTTTGGGCTCGAGAGGTCATGACTTCGCGCTCCCGCCTTCAACTCGCCTTAACCGCTGTTGTACACATCCGCCTTCACCTGCCACATCCCATATCTCTTCTTCTGGTTGGTAGCGGAGCTTCGGCTCTGTTATCCGCGATGGTCCGCGTGACTTCTTCTCATTCTCGTCGCGACTCGACGTCGCCGAATTCCACCACTCCACCGCCTTCGGCACGTACAGTCGCATCTTAGCCCGCTGTGTTGGCCTGGTGGGGGTCCACCAGAATGAGGTCCTGCCCAGACCCCAAACTGTACATCGCCTCCATTGGTGCTGCCAATTGCGCGATTGTCTTCGGTTTCGCGGGACTGCTGGGGGTCCATCAGAATGCGGTCGGGTCCAGACCCTCGCGAGACGTCGCCTACTTGGATGGTGGCACGTGCGCAGTTGGCGCCGTTTTCGTTAGCTTGTGGGGGCCCAGCGGATTGCGGTCATGTCCAGACCCAAACGAGACCTCGCCTCCATGGGTGGTGCCAACTGCGCGACCGTCGCCTCTTCGTCTTTGAGCTCCTCGAGGGTCGGCGGGGTGCGGTCCCACCCAGACCCAAGCTCGACCTCGCTTGCCTGGCTGGTGCCAATTGCGCAACTGTCGCCGCTCTCATGATCCCCCAGGAGCGCAGCGGAGCGTGGCGCAACCCGTGCGGGAGGTCTACTCTGCCTGCCCGGGTGGCGCGAGCGCCGCCACCCGGTCCTGCAGGCTGAGGCCCGCGGTAGAAGTGCCGGGGGTTTCGAGATCGTTCACGGCCTTGACCCTGTCCTTGTCTTGTGTGTCCTCCTCCATCAAGCCTCCTCCGTTCTCCTCCTTCTCATCCCACTCGCAGCTGTGTCCGAGGTTCATCTTTCTCTTTTTTCTTCTCCTCCTCCTCCTCCTCCTCCTCTTGGCCCCTGCAGATCCCCAAGGGTTTTTGGATGCTCCCGGAAATTTGCGAACATCCGGAGGCATTCCAAAGGCCGCCTCAGAGTCTGCCAGGGCGCTCATGGAGGAAGAAGAGGATACCGTGGGGGCGTTCGTTAAGGAATGCGTCCAGGAAGCTTCAGACCCCGGAGGATTCCTTGTCTGATGAGTGCAGCGGTGACAGTGATATCCATGACCAAGCTTCAATTGATGTTCCACAATCTTCCAGACCCTGGATTCCTTATCTAAGGGCTTCTCATTGAATGCCGTAACCGTACCTTCCGAAACCGTTCGGAAACCTTCCAGAAACCAGCGACTGGCGACGCAGCGGTGGCCTAGCCCGTCCAATCCGCCGCCGCCGCCGCCAGGTGGAGCTCCCTGCGCATCTGACCAACAGGCTGCACACCGCCCGCCGCTCTGGGCCTGGTGGGGGGGTCTGAGGAGTGAAGGGGAGGGAAGAGGAGGGAGGAGGAGGGAGGAGGACTTAGGAGGGAGGAGTGAGGAGAGGAGGGAGGATGGAGGATGGAGGAGTGAGGAGCTGGATGGGCTTCGGGATTATGCTGATGAAGATTAAGATGAAGATAATGATGGTGATGCTGATGATGATGAAGACGAAGACGAGCATGAGTGTTATGTTGATGGTAATGATGATGACGATGATGCTGCTGCTGATGATTAGTCTGCCATTATGTTTGTGTTTATGATGATGGTTGTGGTGGTGGTAGTGATGATGCTGATAATGATGACGATGACGATGGCGATTGTGATGATGATGATGACGATGATGATGATGATGATGATGATGATGATGATGGCTGTTCATCTTTTTATGATGCTGATAAGGATGATGATGATTATATCGATGACGATGATGATGCTGATGCTGATGTTGATGATGGTGATGGTGATGATGATGGTGATGCTGATTCTCATGATGATGCCGCTGATGAGGATGCTGATGCTGATGCTGATGCTGATGATGATGGTTCTGATGATGACATGCTTCTGCTACTGGTGTTGCTGATGCTGGTGATACCGATGATGCTGATGATGTGCTGGTGATGATACTGATCTTCATGAGGGTGATGGTGATGATGATGCTGCTGCTGATGATGCTGATCATGATGGTTCTGATGATGATGATGGTGATGCTGATGATCATGATGATGATGCTGCTGATGATGCTGCTGATGATGATGTTGATGCTGCTGATCATGATGCTGATGATGATGGTTATGATGATATGCTTCTGCTGCTGGTGTTGCTGATGATGATGATGATGCCGATGATGCTGCTGATGATGAGGATGATGATGGCGATTCTGATGAGGATGATGATGTTGATGCTGCTGCTGATGCTAATGATGCTGATGATGATGGTGCTGCTGCTGTTGATGCTGCTGATGATGATGGTTGTGTGGTGGGTGGTGGTTGTGATGACACGGATGCCGCTGATGATGTGCCGATGGTGATGGCGATGATGATTGTGATGATGATGATGATGATGATGATGATGATGCTAATGATGCTGATGCTGATGATGATGATGACGATGATGGTAATGCTGCTGCTGCTGCTGCTGCTGATGATGATGATGATGATGATGATGATGATGATATGGATGATGATGATGATGATGAGGAGGAGGCGGAGGAGGATGGTGATAAGAATATGATGATGATGATGATGATGATGATGATGATGATGATGATGATGATGATGATGATGATGATGATGATGATGACAACGATGATGATGATGATGATGATGATGATGATGATGAGGATGATGGTGTTGGTGGTGGTGGTGGTTGTGGTGGTGTTGGTGCTGGTGCTGGAGGTGGTGATGATGATGCTGTTGATCATGGATCAGGATGATGCTGATGATCAGGATGATCAAGGATTGGCGGTGGTGGGGTTGTTGATCATGATACTGATGATGATTAGGTTGTTGATCCTGATGATGCTCATGATGATGACGATGACGATGACGCTGCTGCTTCTGATGATGAGGATGAGGATGAGGATGATGAATCCATGGGTGATGATGCTGCTGATGATGATGATCATGTTGATGCTGATGATGATGAGGAGGAGGAGGATGATGATGATGCTGCTGCTGATGATGATGATGATGATGATGATGATGATGGCGAGGAGGAGGAGGAGGCGGCGGAGGAGGAAGAGGAGGAGACTGGAGGAGGAGGAGGAGGAGGAGGAGGAGGAGGAGGAGGAGGAGGAGGACGAGGAGGGGGAGGAGGGAGAGGAGGGGGAGGAGGAGGAGGAGAAGGAGCAGGAGGAGGAGGAGGAGGAGGAGGAGGAGGAACACCAGTGTAAAATCAAGTCTCACCAACGATGTTGGAGTAAGCCCTCCCCCAAGCTCCCGCTTCAAAGGCCCCTGCCGCGGTTCATTTCCACAGAGGGACCTGCCTCGTTGGAAGACAACCGTTTGAAGACCCTGAAGCATGCCAAACCATTGTTCTCGGTATTCGAACGCCACGGATAAACCTGACTTTTGCGTTTTAACGATCCTGAATCGTGCCATAATGCCATGCTTGAGACTTCAACACCGCGAATCATCGTAAGTGTTGCGCCCTCATAATCGTGAATCCTTCAAAAACACCATTTCTGGTTCGTCGATCATGGGAATCAGTGGAACTTTCGTATCTTTTAAGAGCATGTGCGCGGCGCCAAAGCGAGAACCAGATTTTGAAAACCACCCGCCCTCAATCCGTGGAACTCTTGCAATTCTTTCAAATTGTGCGCGGCGCTAAGGCGAGAGCCACATTTTGAAAACGACCCGCCCCAAATCCGTGGAGCTCTTGCAAAGTTTGAAAACGAATGTGCGCGGCGCTAAGGCGAGAGCCACATTTTGAATACCACCCACCCTCAATCCATGGAGCTTTTGCAATTATCGCAATTTTTTCCATCGAATGTGCGCGGCGCTAAGGCGAGAGCCACATTTTGATTGCAGCCACAAGACATGGCAAAAAGCCGATAAACCGATCAACTGATCAACCGATAAACTATTTTGGCTTATCGGTACATCGGGAGATCGACCGACAAACCGATATGATTATATCGGTTTATCGGTCGATCTGCCGATATAGCGATAAACCGAAAATCCGACTCATTGCAACCGTGTCAGGATCTCAGCGCAGAATGGCTTTATCAGTTTATCGGTTTATCAGTCTATCGGTATGTTTCTCCGTTTACCGGTGTATCGGTTTGCCGGTTTACCAGTTTATCGTTTTATCGGTTTATCGGTGTATCCGTTTATCAATTTATCGGTTGATCGGTTGATCGGTCTTTTGCTACTGCTACTGCTACTGCTACTGCTACTACTGCTACTACTGCTACTACTGCTACTACTGCTACTACTGCTACTACTGCTACTACTGCTACTACTGCTACTACTGCTACTACTGCTACTACTGCTTCTACTGCTACTACTGCTCCTACTGCTACTACTGCTACTACTACTGCTACTACTACTGCTACTGCTACTGCTACTACTGCTACTACTGCTACTACTGCTACTGCTACTACTGCTACTGCTACTGCTACTGCCTACTGCTACTGCCTACTGATACTGCCTACTGCCTACTGCTACTGCCTACAACTACTGCCTACTACTACTGCTACTGCTACTGCTACTACTGCTGCTGCTGCTGCTACTGCTACTGCTACTGCTACTGCTACTGCTACTGCTACTGCTACTGCTACTGCTGCTACTGCTACTGCTGCTGCTACTGCTACTGCT